TCTATACTCTTTGAAAGGACGCGAGCGTGGATGTGATATCATCAGGCAAACGAGCACTTTATGATCGTGAACGGCAGATGCCGTCACGGTATGGCCGGTTATGGTCAGCATTTGTCGGGCTGTCAAAAAAAGATGATAACTCATCAGCTCGGACAAATCATGGTCAGAACCAGTCAGAGATGTCTATGTATGACATAGAATGATAGAACTCGGTCAGAACTGACTTGCCAATACAGTAAGTAATCCAACACGACATATATTGCCAATGTGATTTTGCCGGGTATGGGGCCCGGCACCGTCGTATCTGATATACCAAACTTGAAAGACTTGGACTGATGCGGGCTCGTCAGGTATGCATCACAAGTAAGTATTACTATTACTATGACATTGCACTTTGGCAATCAGACGTCGGACTTATTCCAATCATGAGGACTTCCTCGCCAGTGGGTCCGAGACTTTGGACTTGGACGCAGCTGAATGAAGTCCCAAGCGCCGGTGCCGCCAAACTTGGTCCGACATCGACTCCACGACGGCGACACGCCGTGACGATCGCGTCCCTACACTCGATATGACGTCGACTGAGACACCAGGCTACGTCACGGGAGGGGGAGCTCCACCGCGCCCCATAAGAGGCCCGTAACCCTCGACCTCAGGCGAGTCTCGTCTTCTGACTCCTCTCTCTTCCTTCCTCTACCCCGCTCTACCCATCTGCGATAGGTGCGTCTGTCGCCGTTCACTGGCTACTATCCCAGGTATGTGTCTCTTAGGGACTTTGTGCGCATTCGACATCAGGTAGGTCACGCGTGGTCGGACGTCGTGAGCAGCCAGCTTCGGGCTCAATCCTGGCAGGTAGGTCACTATTGTAAGTGTATGTCTCATGAGTCATGATCAGGACACGCGTCGGACACCGGTACGTCGTGCTTTAATGCTCCCGCCGGTACGTCACGCCCTCTTCTTCCGTTCCCATTGTGGGTTGCCTGTTGGGTCTTTGGTACGTAGTTCCCGAGCCCTGGCCGCGCCACGTGTCGTCGCCAGAAGTAAGTAAGCCCAATTTGCTGGTACACCGGGTTGCTGTGTAACAGAAGTAGCACATTTGTATGTCGTGTAGTTACCCGAATATAATCGTCTTTTTGTCATATTTTCGCGTGAATACCAACAGTAATACGAATAGAAAAGCAATCTAGGGCATTGATCCGCTGCAACTGTCGGGACCTGACAGTGGTGGTCATATATGACCATTGACTAGGCGGTCCTGACCATACTGGGGCGCGCAATGATCATAACTGTTCATATATGACATCACACAACGCGCGATAAGCCCATGCCTGCTCATTGATAGCGCGAGTTACTGCCATAAGCCGTCATTGTTAGTGCAATTAATGGCCGCGTGTGGCCTCTCAATTCGTACTGTCGCCGGACCTGGTTATAGCCAGACCGAGCCCCACAATAATGGCCATGGTAGACTAACGATGGCCGTTTCCTGCCATAAGCCCCCCCGGTTTCCTGATGATCGACTGGCCTGCGAACTGGGAGCGGTGTGCCAGAGCGGAGTAAGCACAGCACCGGGATCGGACGTTCCTCGCGGTGCATTGCAGGCATCGCAATGCATCGCAATGCGCCGTGACGCAAGCCGTGACATGAAACGGGTGCGTTGCAGTCTCTGAATGTTGCACGAAGACCCCGGAGGCAGGAGTCACATGCCGCGCTTCCGCTATCCGAGCCGCAGGCGTATCTAAGACTCGCCCGTGGTGTTCTTCCTACACAATCCCATGAAGAGCGAGCATGAGTTTTAGGACGTGAGCCATCGATACATCGCAGTCATGACTATGGAAACGTGACCTATCTTGATGTTTTCAGCAGATATCTTTCGGGGTGCCTCCCTCGTGGCGAAGGTTGCATCGCATCCCTTCGTTGTGCGCTCACCCTGCACATAGTGCGTGTACCGCACAACGCGTTCTGGAACGCGTAACCATTGCTAAACAATTGCCACACATATGTATGCCTCACATGAGGGACAAAGCAAGCAAAGCGCGTCTCGCGCGTGGCGCGGTTGCACGAGCATGTGACACGACGCGCTGGGTTGAGCGGGCCACAGACGCGTCTGGATAAAGCGCGCGCCGGACCACAGTTCTTCTCCTTCACTGCAACCACATCGAACTACTTGCACCTACTGCATCAACGCTTCATCTGCCCCTCCATTCGATCTACTAACGCTCACCTTGGCCACACTTACTACTCCAAGATGCCGATAATCCACCTCCATGGATCCTATACCCCGATCTTCACCGCCATGCTCGCTCGTTTTGCCAGACCACCTCCCACTCCTTCTACCTCAACCTCGCCTTCGCCTTCGCCTACTCGGCGGACAGACGATCTGCAGTTGTCGCCCTCCTTGGGCTCCGATGGCGATTTTCTGGCGGAACAAGAGCTGCTGGGCCGACGCACGCCGCCGGGCCTACGCCTAGCTGTGGTGTGTGATACACGTTTCGCGCTTGGAGCTTACTCACTCATTCTCCATCAGGCCGACCTAGTACGACAGGTTGAGGAAGATCAGCGTAACCACGCTCAATGGGCCACGTTCAACCAACCCTGTAGCTTCTCAAACACCGAGCGATGGTTCGCAGCTTACCGGGCCCAGGAGGTGAACGATCCCCTTCATAGGTTCGGGTCCTCGCGATTGTGGGAAGGGCCACTCGATCGACACGATGCGGGATACCTGTCAGAAGCATTCAACACGGAGACGATGCAGGTACGTACCTTCAGCTGCAACTTAGGCACCGCAACTTACTGACTGATACCTGCCCAGCCATACGTTCCCGACAGCAGCGGCTTGTCGCATGCTCGCCATGCTGACGAGCGCACAACGTTGGACGACGCCATGGCAGTCAATCCTGTCCATGTCATTGACTTCAGCTTCCTAGAAGAAGACGACGAGATAGAACTCCCGTCGCAGACGCGAATCCGCAGACCCTCAGCGGCATGGAGGAGCACCACCGTGCCTCATCTCGCAGCGACCGACGTCGACTTCTCCGTGAACGAAAACGAGGACATCCCGGATAACCCATACGATCCATCTTTCACTGTCGACTTATCGTTTCTCGACGACGCGCGTGCCGAAACCCGGGTCTATCCCACCGTCGGCTTCCATGAGCCATGCATCAGGTCCTTCACGGAGCCGACGCCGCCGCCGCCGCCAATGTCCAACGGCTCGGAGTCTACGCATCCCTCGTCCGTCCCGACATCCCCATCCTGGTCTGTGGAGGTCAATCCGGACGACGAACCTCGGTACCCTTCGATGTGGCCCCGTTCGGACGTATGGGGCGCACACATGGGTGGCATCACGGGTCGTCTGTGGTGTACCCGTCTCGATCGGGATGAGGACATGTCCGACGGCGACGAAGAGGACGTCGACAATCTCTCCACGTCTGAGAACTTCCGCAATCACCGGGTCTATTACCAGCCAGCTCGCAAATCTTCGGCGACGACGGGGGGATCCGGGGCGACGCGTGACGGAGGACGGTACCATGCCCTGTGGTCAAACCATGCGATCTGGGGTTACGCACCGTCTTACGAGGGCCGAGACCTTTCCCCTCTGGTCGACAGCGACGTGACCGAGACCAAGACAGAGTGCCGACCGTCCGCAGGGATGCCTCCTAGCAGGGGCTGGCTGGACTTCGCAGCCCTAGACGAACTCGTCCACCTCGACGATTGGAATGGAGAGGAAGCCCGTCAACAAGCCCCAGAAGACAGAACAGACATGGATGGAGGTGAGGTATTATCCCAGCCGCCTATGACGACGAACGCACTCGGGCTCGTCATCACGCCGTTCTGAAGGACAGACAGCACACTGGGAGGATTGTATGGATCCTGGGTGGGAATGGGGATAGAACATCTAGTACATACCTGTCGCTCACATGTCCTCGTCACCGTTCGTACCGTGCAGCAGGCACTTCCCTTACGCCTTCCCACCTACTACGTGCTTCAGGTATACTTGGCGCAGTGGCTTCCGGTGTCCAGTTGATTATTGCTTTGGTGTGTTTGTATCGCAGATCGTCCCTCGCGTTGTCGATTTCACCAGTTATAGATATACTGTTCTCTCTTACCAATTGGAGCTGAATCGTGTTGATGTCGTACGCAATAGCTCTGTACAGCGTCGCGAGGTATCTCTGAAGGCTGGTCTTAGGCTGATTGGGAGGAGAGTGGAGCACATACACTGCCAGACAGCGGGAAGGAGAAATCCAAGGAAATGCCGGGATAGCAGATTTCCACCGCGTGGTGCAGTGGAAAACCAAAGAATGGGCACGCCAGCAGACCCCCACATGTAAATCTAGCGGATATCTGCTGGAACGGGCGCCTGATGACATACTTGGATGAGCTGTACACTTGATGGATGATGCGCTGGGCGTTTGGGGCCTTCGAGTCCACCATCGAGTTGAGATTGCGAAGTCTGAAATTCCGTACCTCTCAAGGTGGAAGGGCAATAACTCCTCCCATCCCTACCACGTACTCTGTACATACAAATTAAAGTTCTGTGCCTTAGCTAGTCTGCCGTGGACACAGTCTACTAAATAATGCTGAGTAGGAGGCTTAGAAGGCTTAGAAGCTATAAGTACAATGTATATACTGACACTGCAAGGGACCTCAGCAGGGCATCAGTGGTATAGTGGACAGATGAGATTATGGTTGAGTCGGAGGTCCAGGGTTCGACTCTTGCGGGGGCATTTTTGCAGCTTGCCCCCTGCGGCCCTGCCCCTCCGTGATGCCCATCAACCTGAGGGCGCTGACTGTGTCATCACGCTTACAGTCAGGCTTGCTGGTATCAACTGGCGTGCCCATTCCTTGGATTCCCACTGGTCTCGTCTTTGATTTCCACGAGTGACTCACGACTTGGATTTCCACTGGCGGGGTGTCTGGCAGTGTAGAGCCCAGGTGTTGTCGAACCACTATAGGAGTGTGCGGCGTGTGCAAGGCCATAATAGCGCAAAAGGGGCCGCATGTATGGCCGCCTGGCGTAATGGCAACGCGTCTGACTACGACTCGGTTATCAGGAGATTGCAGGTTCGACCCCTGCGGTGGTCATTTTGTCCTTCTTCATTTCATCATCAATACTTTAGGGCAGGCAGAGGTACGCGGTGAAAATGATCGCATATCCGTCGTGCTACGTTCGCTGGTCCCCTCGTCCAGTTGATATCGTACACCTATTTTGTGCGACTACCACAAAGCCACCTTCCCATCATGAACTCGCTCGTGAGTCGTTGATGATCAAATGACCCCGTAGCTCGATTTCAACGCCATCCTGGGCCTCCGACGCCGCGACTTGCCGCCCCCACCGCAGCTGCGTGCGTTCATCTTCTGAGTCTTCCGGTAGCGGCCACCCCGCTCGCGCTTCATGTTCAGCTGCTTGTCGTGTTTGGCCGAGACATGGAGACCTCGATGGGCCACTGTAGCGGCCACCTCTTCGCATGCCTGACGAGTGCGAGTGAGTATTTCTGTACGCTGGGACACCGCATGGAGATTATTACTCACTCCGGTTTGACCAGCTGGTACACCAAGTTTCAAGCCATCATCGACCTGATGGTTGATGGCCGTCACAGCGCTCTGCCTGGCGTCGCTGTCGGCGCCGACGGAGGGGAGGTACGCAGCGAGTTCCTTGCCACATGTGGCGTACCACCTGTGTCCGAGCTCCGCCAGGGACGGCGTGTGGCTCTGTCGAGCCAGGTTGTTCGTCTCCTCGACAGCAGCACTCCCCGGCGTAGATTCACGGCGACTTGCCTCGAACACGATCCTGCACGGAGGTGAGGATCTGAAACGGTAAGACTCCTCGTCGGTTTCGCTTCCGCTGCTTGTTGCGGAGTCTAGAGACCATGCCTGGTGCAACGCAAGGGTCTCCTCGGTGAGTGGAACCTTGGGGGCCTTGGACAGTTGGGCAACCGTCACTGATGACTCGTTCGACGTAGAGATCGACCGTTCGGACCTGCTGTCGTAGGACGGGATCGGGGATGGCGATGGGGGGAGGAGCGCGGGATCGACCCACCCGTCGGCCGCAATACGAGGAGCGGGAGGCCACATCGGCGGCGCCCGCATGGGTTGAACGCGATGTCCAAGAGTAGTGTCGCTCGACTCCGTCACGAGGTGCCGGCCGTGCGCAATGACACGCTGGGAGTACGCGCCCCCGTGGCGCATGTACTACAGGAGGTCAGATCCCGTCCTCCCATCCTAACCATCGAAAGCGAGGAGCTCACCGAAGTGTTACTCAGGTCAGATCGTACTCTCTCATCCGATCTCCGTGTCTGCCCTCGCTCCATGTTCTCTTTCCATTGCAGGATTCTCGCAAAGCTAGCAGGGTGCCTGCGAGGAGTTGGTGAGGCCACCTGTGGAATGACTTGCCGCGCATTGGCCGTGGATGCCGTGCCCCGAGCCGCTTTCTTCTGTTGTACTCGCAAAGCGAGGAGCTCCGTTACTGCGAGCTCCGCGATGTGGAAAGCGTTAGCTGGAGCCATAGGGCGGAACAAGGCTGTGGTCGGTGGTTGGAGTGCCCCAAGCCAGGTGAGTTGGTATGCACAGATAGGCTTTCCAAAACCCTTGATTACTCACCGAGAACACAGGGCACTTGGATATACGGGATGATAGACGGATACCTGGCTATCCGTGCGGTGTGGTGTGGAAAGAGGAGCAGACCCCGAGACTGAATACGCGCCGCGAGGCATACACACGTGATCGCGAATTTGGACGGCGTCAACTAACGTCAACACACATTTTGCGGTCTGAATTATCCGGTTAACCTGTCTGTACAGATTCCTCTCATCACGGAATATACAGATGTCCAAAGGCTCTCCGTCGTCTCTCGTCCCCGCTCTCAAGCACCACCGATATAAGGAGCAAGTCCATGGGCCAGTTCAACTAGCTACCATTCAACCTCTCCTTCAAGCAAGCTCGACGCCGCCACTCGACGTCCTCAGGTACCTATTCATCATTCACCTCAAAGGCGGGAGTGAAATGTTCCTGCGACGCTCTTGCCAGTCACGTTGTGTTGGGAAGCTACCACGCGACGCCGGAGTAGTTCGAACAATGCTTGACGGGCCACCTCCCTCTCATATGTCTGTCGCCACCCTGGAGCACTTGGCTGCCGCTTGACCGATACGCCCTCGGGATCAGAGCTACGGGAAAGCGCAACTTCTGCCGCCGAACCTGCAAATCTAGCCGCTTGCATCTCCAGTGACGGACTCGACCCAGGAGACCAAGAACCAACTGTGTCCGCCTTCCCAACGATATGAGACGGGTGCGATTCCGGCGTCTCGAGCGTACACGACCAGTCCGAGGAGAACGACAGGTCAAGAGGCTTGGGCGGGGGTGGCACAGGCCAGAGGATTCCATTCCGCCCTTGGATGTACTCGGTAGGCGTATACGCGGCATCCGCGTCGTTCCAAACAACCTTGCAGACGGCATGAGCGCAACGTCCGTGGCAAGGTTTGGAGTCCCGAGGAGTGCAAGGCCGCGAACGTGGGTCTGGCCAGTCTATACCACCGCGGCGGACGAGTCGACAACGGCCGCCAAGTCTGGCATCGCCGGCCATGTTCCGTTCATCTCGTGTGCCATCGTACACCACCCTGTTCGGCGGCGTGGATGCGTTCAGTCGGCGATCTCGGTCATAGTCGGAAGTTTCTTCATCAGAGCTCTCTTCCTCTCCCTGAGAACATCGTCCAGGTCTTGGATATTGCGGCTCGTATGTCCTCGTCCAATCACGTATCTCTCGTGCCTGTCACTCAATTTATATATCCAACTCCCGGAGTCGCCCATGCAACTCACCAGATCGTATGAAGAACCAGTCTCCAGCCCTTGAGATACGAAATACTCGTGGAGCTTCTCAGGCTGCCCTTCCCTCAAGCTCTTGAACGCGATGGGGAGCTTAGTTGGTGTGGGCGCAATCATGACAGTGTGGCGTCGGGTGCATAGACTGCGGTGGAAGACACGCGGGGTGCAAGGGAGCATGCCTCGATATATATGTAGAGTAGAGCGCGCTCGGAATGTTGAGATGAGCGATTGCGACCGCGGGGAAAAAGAAAGAATGATGAGAGACCGTTGTCACCACCTCTAACCGAGATAAAGAATATTTGCGCCTTGTCGAAAGACCATCCCCTCCCAATAGCGCAACGAAAACAAATGTAAGAAGTCGTTCGATAACCAATCACGCGGCGTTTGACCATTGACAACAGATCACCGCCACTCAAGCAGCACCGAGGGAGTTTTCAAGAGGAAGCATGCGGCGAACGCGAACGATTTCCCAAACTGCATAGACGAGTACAACGAAGATAGTAATACATTTACTGTCCATGTTCACGGTGCGGACTCGGAGTACACATCTACGCGGCACCAGGCCACGATCCTTCTGGAGCATCTACGTTCCATATGTCCGACTCCGGCAACAACAGCGGTACATATCGTCGGAGCGCCGCAGAAGGCTGAGACGCGGCGAGCAGCTTCTTCTTCGGAGCTTGCGGGGGAGGATGCGCAGAGTGACCGCACATGTTCTCGATGTAGTCGAGCAGCCACCGCTCTACGCGCGGCTCGAGCTGTGGCGCGGACTCGGGGTGCATCCGCGCGAGCCACGCGTCGCGCAACTTGTGTACACGACTCGCGTCTTCGTCAGCGTTGGGGAGGGGTTCCCAGACAGGTTGGGAACGTGACGTGTAGGAAGAGGGCTGGTGGGCATGTGCAGGTGGCCTCGCGTGCTCGAAGGATCCAGGAACGTTCCGTGCCATGTCTGCTGGTGAGGGCCATGCATTCCCGGCAGCCGGATGAGGATGCCATACCTCGGACACAGACCACAAAGGATAGAACCGCACGTGTTGCGCGCCATATGGTGGGTAGAATGTGGGAGGTAGTGAATACGACACGGCTGACATCCCGGCTCGATTGGGTGTCCGTTCCCAGTGATGCATAGGCGAACTCGGCGCCGTGACGAATGCAGAGGTTTCCAAGACGCTCGCCTGCGACGGTGTTCGTGCACGCGAGGCACAAGGTGTCGCGTATACGGAGCTCGCTGTTGCGAGAGGGAAGGGAGTAGCACCGACGGTGTGCGTGAAGTTGTCCGTGGGCTGGTATGGAGTGGCATCGTCATCGTCATCAAGGAAGGAGAAGTCCATGAATTCAGTTGGATTCCTGGGGACATCGTGGACTACGGTGCGGGAATCAAGACAGCTGTCCAGCCGCCAAGAAGGCTCTGTCGATTCGAACGGTACGGGGACGTGCACGTGCTGTAAACACACAGGAAGAGATGAGCATTGCGCCACCTCCAACGTCAAGCCAGACTTACCGAGTCAGCACCAGATACTTGGCAATGTTGAGGCGGAGGTGTGGCTATACGTGAGTTTGCGTTGGAGTCCGTGTTGAGGAAGGATGAGTTCGAGTCGGTAGGCTCAGGCGAGGAGGCTGTGGGCGACGGAGACAGTGAGATGGAGGGGTCCGCCGATCTACGCAGCTGGATTCTCAATAGCCTTGCTAGCCTGGGACCATGCTGCATGTCGTGAGACGCATTCCATTTCGACTCTCCCAGCGTTGTAACAGAGCGCGCAGATTCGCCCTTCAGCACTTCAGCAAACGTAGCAGGCGCCGTGGTTGGAGGTTGTGCGCGATCCATCGTCTGCGCGTTTCGATTTGTGCTTGGTTGTGAGTGATCAGTACAGGACATCTATGATAAGAAGCACCGGAATTCAGCATCAGGCGGGAAAGGAAGAGGTAAAATAGACGTACTTGCGGGTGGTGGTAGTGGTGGTTGCAGGAAGAAGAAAGACAATGTGGCCAACGCGCCTTGAAATACGCGTCGGTGGCTGCACGCTTTGACGGGCTCGCGTCAGGTCACATGGTCGACAAAGCGACAAAGCGAGTGGCGCAATGGTGGCCGCCCGCGAGCCACTGGCCCGATGCACTTACTGGGGTATATGACGGTAGAGCGGACATACGCGCGATGTGTATCAGAAGCGGAACACATAAGTGCAACATTTCTTTCAAAGATTTCGAACATGATACGAGGGACGCGCCCGTGGAACAAGAGATAACATGAAGAAACGTGCAGTCATAAA